GTTAAATATAAGACATGAAACCATAGGCAGCAACTTCTCAGACATCTCTCTTAGCAGTATGTTTGCTGATATATCTGCTAGGGCAAGAGAAATTAAGAAGAAAATTAACAAATGACACTACATCAAAATAAACAGCTTCTGCACAGCAAAAGAACCATCAACAAAACAAAAAGGGTATCCCTTGTATGGGAGAACATATTTGCCAATGACACATGTGATAAAGGGTTAATATCCAAAATATATAAGGAACTCATACAACTTAACAAAAAGAAGACAAACAATCCAATTAAAAAATGGGCAAAGGAACTAAATAGACACTTACCCAACGAGGACATACAAATGGCTAAGAGACAAATTTAAAAATGCTGAACATCGCTAATCATCAGAGAGATGCAAATTAAAACCACAATGAAGTATCACCTCACACCTGTCAGACTGGCTACCATCAACAAATCAATGAACTACAAGTGCTGGCAGGGTGTGGAGAAAAGGGAACCCTAGTACAGTGCTGGTGGGAATGCAGACTGGTGCAGCCACTATGGAAAACAGTATGGAGTTTCCTCAAAGGATTAAAAATTGACCTGCCATTTGACCCAGTGATCCCACTTCTAGGATTATATCCTAAGAAAAGTGAAACACCAGTCACAAAGAACTTATACACCCCTATGTTCATAGCAACACAATTTACAATAACTAAGATCTGGAAACGGCCCAAGTGCCCGTCAGAAGATGAGTGGACAAGAAAGCTGTGGGACATTTACACCATGGAATACTATGCAGCTGTAAAAAAGAAAGATTTTTTATCCTTTGGCACAGCATGGAGGGAACTGGAAAGTATTATGCTAAGTGAAATAAGCCAGTCAGAGAAAGACAAGTACCACATGACTGCACTTATATGTGGAATATAATAAACAAAATAAACTGATGAACAAAATGGATCCAGGGACATAGAAGCATGGAACAGAATGAAGGATCTCAGAGGTAACGTGGGGAGGTGGGTGTTGGTGGGGAGAGATTAAGCAAAGAACTTACACGTTTATAAGCATCACCCATGGACACAGACATTGGTATGGGGAATGCCTAGGGGTAGGATGGGTGCTGGGTGGAGGGGATCAATGGGGGTAAAAAGGGGACATCTGTAGTATTTTCAACAATAAAGATAAAGAAACTTAAAAAAAAGATTTAAAAAAATAATGAGCAGTGAAAATAATGAATGATGATCTTGAATATAGCATTCTTGTTTAAAATTAATTTAAAGCAAATCTAGATAATGAATATGAGAACTAAAGTTTATAAAAAGATGTAGTGAAAGGAGCTGAAATTACTTCATAAGTGTGCTCTTTCAAAAAGAACCCGGAACAGTATATTCTTCCACCTGTTTATATCTTCATTTATTTTTTTTTTCAATGTCCTATAGTTTTCTTTTTTTTTTCTTCTTTTTTTAAATATATCTTTATTGATTTCAGAGAGAGGAACGGAGAGAGACAGAAACATCAATGATGAGAAAGTCATTGATCGAGCCCGCAACCCGGGCATGTGCCCTGACCAGGAATCGAACCCCAATCGCCTGGATCCTAGGTCGACGCTCAACCGCTGAGCCACGCCCAGTGGGCAATGTCCTATAGTTTTCTAAGTACAGGTCTTTTACCTCCTTGGTTCAGTTTATTCCTAAGTTTCTTAATTTTTTAGTTGCAGTGATAAATAGGATTGTTTTTTCAATCTTTCTTTCTGAGAGCTCATTATTGGTGTATAAAAATGCCATAGATTTCTAGGTGTTAATTTTGTATCCCATTACCTTGCCAAATTCATTTATTAAATCTAGTAATTTTTTGGTGGAGTCTTTAGGATTTTCTATGTACAATATCATATCATCAGCCTATAATGACAGTTTTACTTTCTCCTTTCCAGTTTGGATGCCTTTTATGTTTTTTTCTCTAATCACTGTGGCTAGGACCTCCTGTACTATGTTGAATAAGAGTAGTGGGAGTGGACACCCCTGTCTTGTTCCTTTTCTTAGGGAAAATGGTTTTAGTTTTTGCCATTGAGTATGATGTTGGCTGCAGATTTGTCATATGTGGCCTTTGTTATGTTCAGGTGTGATCCCTGTATTCCCTCTTTGCTGAAAGTTTTTATCAAAATAGGTGTTGGATTTTGTCAAATGCTTTTTCCGCATCTATTGATATGACCATGTGACTTTTGTCTTTCAATTTGTTTATGTGATGTATCACAGTTATTGATTTGTGAATATTGTACCAGCCACGCATCCCTGGAATAAATCCCACTTCGTCATGGTGTATGATCTTTTTTATACATTACTGGATCCAATTGGTAATATTTTGTTAAGGATTTTAGCATCTATGATCATTAGGAATATTGGTCTGTAATTTTCTTTCTTTGTAGTGTCTTTATCTGGTTTTGGGATTCGGATAATGCTGGCCTCATGAAAAGAGCTTGGAAGTATTCTTTCTCTTGGATTTGGAGAAAAGGAAACCTTAGTACACTGGGGATGGGAATGCAACCTGGTGCAGCCACAATGGAAAACAATGTGGAGTTTCCTTAAAAAATTAAAAATAGAACTGCCATTTGGCCTAGTGATACCACTTCGAAGAATATATTCTAAGAACCCCAAAGCACCAGTCAGAAAGAATATATACACCCCTATGTTTATAGCAGTGTTATTTATAATAGCTTTGATCTGGAAATAGCCCAAGTACCTATTTTAGATGAATGGTTTAAAAAAACCACTGTGGTACGTTTGCACAATGGAATACTATGCAGCTGTAAAAAAGAGGATCTATTAACCTTTGTGACAGCATGAAGGAACCTGGAGATGGTTATGCTAAGCGAAAAAAGCCAGTCACAGAAAGACAAATATTACGTGATCTCACTTATATGTGGGATGTAATGAACACAATGAACTGATGAATAAAATAGAACCAGATTCATGGATACATGAGGAATCTCAAAGAGAACTTGGGGGGTGGGGGGTTAACCAAAGAACTTATATGCATATATGCATTGCCAAAGAACACAGACAATAGCGTGGTGGAGGCTTGGGGCGGGACAGAACCCGGTCAAGGAGTGGAGGAAAAAGGGGGGGCATCTATAATACTCTCAACAATAAAAATAATAAAATTAAATTTAAAAAAAAAAGCAAAAAGACTTAGAATTAACTTTCAAATTTTCTAATTATTTTTTTAAACAGAGTAATTACTTATTGTTTATTTTAAAAGATGTGAAAAGTCTTAGTCATCGCTTTTAGTGGACGAAGTGTAAAAACTAATCTTAGAATGTCCACAGGAAGAGAAGATTGCAGAAGTAAAGAAAATTACAAGGTTTTAATTTTAAAAATGTATTGTTGGTTAATGAAGATGCATTGCAAAATACAAAATCATGAGAATTATTTTTTAAATTGTGATCTTGATTAAGGAACTTAATTTTTCTTAGCTGTATTGTCTTATGTTTAAAAATTAAAATAATGATATATATCCGTGAGGATTCTTGTGAGTATTCAGTATTATTTGTAAACTACCTATTTTATTACCTAGCTCTCAGTAAATTGTTTGGTGATAGTTTTTATGATCATCATCATCTTGTGGCTTAAACCAACAACCATTTATTTTTGTTCTTTTAAATCTCTCATGAGTCTCATTGACTGTGCTCAGCTATGCATTTATTTTTCTCCATGTGGAGTTGTCTGGAGCTGCAGTTACCTGGAAGGCTTTTTGGGCTGAGAGCTTATCTAGGCCTGGGAGCCTGAGCACCTGTTTTCTCCTGGAGACTTTCCATGTGCTGCAAGCTTTCCTCATCATTGCAGCAGATTCTAGAAGACAGAGTTCCAAGAAAGAAGGGCAAAACAGGAATCTTATACCCTAGCCTCAGAAATCACATAGCATCACTTCTGTTGTGTTCTGTTGGTCACAGGAAATCACTGAGCAGCTCTAAGGGGAGTAGAAAAAGACTCCTGTTTTTGATAGAGCAGTGACAAAATCACACTGCAAAAGAACATGTGGGATGAGAGATATTTCTTTAGCCATCTTTGGAAATCAATTCTGCCTATACTATAAAAGAAGGATGGAAAAGCTCCCTGTGTAGATTAGAAAAGATGTCCAAGATAAATTGCTAAGTGAGAAAAGCTAGGTAGAGAAAAAACACTGTGTAATATACTAGTATCAGTGTAAGAAAGTGGTGAGAAAAGAATATTTTTGTGTTTTCTTATCTGTATTTTTAAAATCTCTGAAAATATATGTAAAAAACTAATGACAGTGGGTGCCTGTTGGGGGTGGAAATTGGGCAGAGAGGGGATATAGTTACAGGCTTCTCGCTGTATGTCTTTCTGCACTTGTAAAAAACAATTTGAATATTTAAATAAATAACTTTTATTTTTAAATACCCCATGATTACATTTTTAAACTTGATTCACTGTAGCTCCATGTTAGAGTTTAGAATCTTAGCATTTAAATGAATTTCAGATGCCATTTAGTCCTATCATCTGTTCTTTTTTTACTTTAAATCATTTTTTTAATTATAGTTAGCATACAAGATGATATTATTTTCAGGTGTACAACCCAGTAGTTAGACCCTATCACCTGCATTAAAGTAAGAATCCAGTCTATATATTTCCTAACATAGTGTCATCTAGCTTTTGTAAGAAAAATTTACTCCCAAGATAGTGAATTCTGTTGTTTTATACATTTTTAAATACTCTATCAAAAACTCTTTTTTTTTTTTATTGCATTAACTAACTATATTGAATTCACTGGATGATTTGTTTACAAAACACACTGTATTTAACAGAAACATTGCTGTAACAGTTTTATGGCATATTTCTATATGTCAAATGGCATTGAATTATAATTTCAACTATATTAATTTTATAATGTAGCGTTATCTGAAATTTATTCATAATTGATGCTTATAATACTGAAGGTTGATTACTGGAAAAGTTGGATTAACAAAAGCTATTAAAATAATTATTTCAAAGGTACTTTTCTTTTTAGATTACTATGCCATGCTATGAAAGACCACATAGTTCGTGTTGCAAATGAAGCTGAGTTTATTTTGAACAGACAGAGGGCTGAGGATGTACATAAACATGCAGAGTTCGAGGTAAGATTTTTGGAGCAGATTAAATTCTGCTTTTCTTTTTATAAGTCAGCCATCACTGATGGTAAGCTTACATTAAGAAGGGTGTTTTGAAAAGGAAAATTTCACGGAAGGCATTTGAGTTCTTTAGTAAATGTCAAACTCAGAGTACCAGTTTATTTTTACCTCATTTACAGCATGAACAGATCCCTCCAGCCCTGTCAGTAACCACTCGGTAGACTGAAGTTCTTCTAAGTTAAAGGCAAATAGAATTTTGAAATGCAATTACTTTCATAGTTTTTAAGCGAGCAAAGATTACTTACCGTTAGATATGAGTATAACAAGGGGTTATATAAAGAAACTCAGTTTTACCAAATATTCGATAATTTATTATTTGTTTATATGTCCATCTTTAGAGTGTCCACAGAACATTTTAGTTTAGATTTTATTTTTATGAGTGATATCTTATTGACAATTGAAGCATTGCTATTCTGTCATATATATGTAGATCTATATGTATATATGGAAATACAATAGTTTAAAAACCCTCATAAGTACTTTGAGTAAAGAACAAATTAACAATCATTTCTATTTTATATTTAAACACTAAAGGATGTTGAAGTACTATATATTCCATAGAAATCATTTTTTTAATTTAAAATAGCATTTCTATATTTATAACATGACAATAATTATTCACCATTATTTATATTGCCCCAATTCAACAAATATTTTTATTTTAGTGGTTTAAATATAGCAATTACTTCAGTTCATTCAGTTAACAAAACAAAAATGGTTTCAGAAATATTTAGGTGACCTGGTATTTGGCTTATGTTGGACTGCCAGTGGCCTTGAAAATAATAAATAACTTCTCCCATGTATTCTGAATCCATATGCGAACAAGTGCTCTATGGCTGGAAGCCGGAGCCCAAGATTTCAGATTTGATGAGGTTTTTATCTCAGTAAACCAGCTCTCTTAGTCGTGCAAGTTGATATCTTAGGTCTGGTGATCTCTGACCTGGCCAGCTGAAAAGCACGAGACAGAGAAAAAGCTGTTGGCGCTTTAATACCAATAACGTCTGCTTCATTTGTCAGATGAGACAGCATACACTTGTCATATGTGATTGCAAAAACCTTATTTTGAAAAAATACCAAATATTTTAAACTTTGATTAAAGTACATTAACAATTAAGTGTTTGTCAAAGTGAAGATTTGTATCACCTGAAAAATAAATAACATTTGGCTATTTATCAGTCTACAATGCTATAATCTGGATAACAGTATAGTCGTATTCTGGAAGAATATCTTTAGGTGTAAAATATATGAGAACTCTAAGCACAAGAATATTTAATTAATTTTCGACTTCTTTTTAGTAAATAAGATTTAGAATATTAACTGAATTCCATGCAGGATCACTTTGACTCAATTATACAGGGTGGGGCAAAAATAGGTTAACAGTTGTGAATACGCAACACCCCACAGTTTATTCTTGTGTTATTATCTATTAATTATTGTATTATTTTCCATACAAACAACTGTAACTCTACTTTTGTCCACCCTGTAATTCTACTAAGAAAATCAAGACATTTTATGGGGTATAAGCAAATTAATATTTGTCATGTGAAAACATTTAACAGAATTTTATGAAGCTAGATATTAGTTACTAGCTTTAACACATATTTACTCAAAATGATATTAACTAAGTGCAGTGTTTTTTAGCCTTTTTTAAATTATTGCCCCCCTAAGGAATCTTTTTAGACGGTTTTTATCCTAATTGTTTCCCAGTGATATTTTATTGCCATCAATATGCTGCTTACCTATTTCTGTACTGTATATACATCTCTATTTTATATATAAAAAGAGCAAGTTTGTGTGTGTTTTTCACATACACCCAACATCAGTTTTTACCCCATTGGGGATGAGATTACTTTATTGAGGCTTCATGGCAAAGGGTGATAAGCTATGAAGGGGGACATGAAGACTGAGTGATTTTTCTATTATGTATACCTAAAATACTGATTTAAATCTAATTTTCAGAGTACTACCATTGTTACTTAATGATTGTACATTGTTTATTAACCCAAATGTTTGTTTCTTGTTTTTTTTAAGTTAGGTCTATATTAGTAAATGCATTGATTGTGTGTTTGTGTTTTGGGGGAGGGGTATGTATGTAGTGTATGTAGTTTACCAAACAGTTATCATTTTTAAATTGCAAAGTATTTTATAAAATTCCTGACATTTTACTGGGACTTTTTGAGGAATTTCTGTCTTCCATATAAGCCTGTAATTAAGAGAAAAAGTATATTTAATCTGAGATGGGTGCTTCATGGTTAAGTTTTTCTTAGTTAACTGTAATTGTTAAGGAAGAAAAATGAAATTTTAATTTTATTTTCCAATGAGCTAATGAAATATTAACTTCATTATGGAGGCAGATCATTGTACTAATTGGTGATTTCCTGTACAAAAAGATGAATTGGAATACAAATTAATCCTTCTTAGATTACCATAGGGTTATTTTTCTGAAAGAAATAATTTGTGGTAGTAGTTTATGACAATAGATAGGTGGAAGGGACATTTAAATACCTTCCATGAAACAGTCTTTTCCATAGTAATGATAAATGTGAACTAGTTATATGTATTTATTTAGATGTATAATTTTCTTTCCTTCCTTATTATATGACTCATGTTACATTACCCATTTGGTAATGTTAAAATTTTCAGTCAGTCGACCCTATACTAAAGTTATCATTAAAAAAATCAAACATGATTAGAGAAATGATCATCTTGAACCTTTTGCTACACAATGAGAATGATTAGCTATGTTACTAATACCAATGGGCATGAATACAGATAGCTAACATTATCCAAACATTATTTTACATATACATATGTATAAACACATACAAAGAACACATTTTTACAAGTTTGAAAGGGGAATAAAATTTCAAAAGGTTACATTATCTGAGTTTATTAGCCTTTAACTTAAAATTAGATGTCATTCCTTTCTAATGCACAGTGGAAGTTATACATTAATCATTATTCGGTGTTTGTATTTCTTTATATAGTCGCAGTGTGCCCAGTATGCTGCTGATAGGAGAGAGGAAGAAAAGATGTGTGACCATCTTATTAGTGCTGCTAAACATCGAGATCATGTTACAGCAAATCAACTGAAACAGAAGATCCTTAACATTCTCACAAATAAGCATGGTGCTTGGGGAGCAGTTTCTCATAGGTGAGTTATAACAAATTATAAGTAAATAATCACTCATAGATTAATTATGATAGAAGTAAAAATGACTATTTTTAAATTATTTAGAAAATATGGTTGGAAGTATTAAAAATTACTATAATTTTTTCATATTTTTAGTAATGTCTCTTTAGAATGGTTTAGAAGAAAATCTAAACTTTTAAAAGTAGCTCCTATGGAAATTATTTCTAATTTAGAATTATGTGTAACATAATACAAAGTTTGTTTAGGTAAGTATTTTAATCTTAAATAATCAAACCGTCCAACTTCGTAAATTTATTATCATTCTTAATTTTTCTTATATGCAAGTAATAATATAAGCATTTACTATGGAGAAGTAATATATTCTTTTTAAATTTTTTTCTTCCATAGGAAGGATTTTGGCATTTATGATATAGTATAATTAAAATTAGTTGTTTTTCAATTATAGTTTTGTGGGCATAAAATTATGAAATTTTATGGGTATAAATTTCTTTTTCTTCCATACGTTTAAGTTTTCTAGGAAACTAGTAGTGAAGTAGCATATTTAGATTGTTAATGTTCATTTGTATATCTTAATTTTATTTTATTTCATTAAGTATTTTTATTAATTCTCTGGCAGAGTTTAGGGGTTAGTTAATTATGCACAGGACACTACTAAGAATAACTCTGGTAGAAGTGATTCTTTTAGATAGCAAAGAACATTTGGATATGACCAGGGTAGTATATGACCAACTGTCCTTGCATTTCAAGTATAAGATAGATGTAAAAGAACTTCCTTACTTTTGAATGTAAAGTAAAATTATAACTTAATGTCTTTAAAAATAGTCAGTACTCAATATTTGTTATAATAATAGCAACACAGTGACATCTAACATCAATCAAATATTTATTGTGTGCCAGAACCCAAACTAAAAACTTTACATGGATTACTTTGTTTAACCTTCAGATATCTCTATGAAGGTTTATACTGAAATTTTCTACATATTTCAATGAAGAAACTGAAGCTTTCAGAGGATAGGTAAATGTACATAGTATCACACAGACTGTCCAAATAGTGGCAGAGTGTGTCAGTCAGGATTCTCCAGAGAAATTCAGAAACAGACCCATAGAATATATGTGAGACATAGAGATATAAATAGAGACATAGACACAGATATAGATTTCTTTTAAAGAGTTGGTTTATGATTGTGGGGTCTGGCAAGTGTGTAGGGCAGGCTGACAGGCCAGAAACTCAGGCAGATTTTTGTTATAGTCTTGAGGCAGAATTCCTTCATCTCCAGGAAACCTGTCTTTTTGCTTAAGACCTTCATGTAATTAGAGGAGGCCCATCTACATTATTGAGAATATTAACATCTTTTACTTAAAGTCAATTGTGTAGAGGTGTTAATCACACCTACAAAATATCTCAGAGTAACATCTTAACTAGTATTTGGCCAAACCACTGAGCACCATGGCCTGGCCAAGTTGACACATAAAGTTTAACCATCCTACAGAGTAGCAATCACATGAACATTTTGCCCAGCTGTAGACATTGTCTCTCATTTTGTGTCCTCTGAATGGGATTTACCTACCTACTTATATATAGTCAGGACTATAGCAATATATTGCTAATAATTCAGCTCAAATGATTTGGGATATTGCCTTAAATGTATAAAGGTTTAGGTTTTAATATTTTATTGTGCAATTAAAATACAGCTATAAGACAGTGATCTTTATAATGTCAGTCACGTGTTAATATATCAAATGCACTCTTTGTTCAGCTTACCTTTTGTGATATCTCACTAGATTGACAGAAAGACTAGCAGTAGGATCCCTCAGAAAAGTATATGTCTTCTGTCCCTTCCTACACATTAATTTCCAGTGCTGATTAAATAAAAAAACATGAAGCCTTTTTATTATCATTATTTCTAACTGGGCCATTAAACTTTAAATCTTTAAGGGCAGGTTGTGTTCTCTATAATCTTCCCTAGATTTTGATTAACTAATAAGGCACAGTCATTGAACTGCTTCTGCTTCCCTTTTTTGTCTTAACTCTCTAGGCAATTTTATCTAGTCTCATGGCTTAAAAATATTACCAATATGTTCATAACTCCAAAATTTATTGTCTCTGATCCAGATCTCTCTCTCTTCTCCAGACCTGTATATCCATATATCTATATGGCATCTTTCACTTGGGTATCTATTAGTTATCTTACACTTAAGATGACAAAACTGAACTCCTAAGGTTTTCTCCCAAACCAGTTCCTCGTGTAATTTTCTCCATCTCAGCCAAGGGAAACTCTAGTCTTACAGATGCCCAGGCCATAAATCTTGTTCTTATCCTTAACTGCTTTTCAGACACCCAGTGTTGAACTTTTCAGCAAATCCTATTGTGTTTGCCATAAAATATATCCCGCATTTGATCACTTCTCACCATTACCTTTGGTGTTGCCTGATCCAAGGTACCACCATTTTCCACTTCTTGCATCAGCATTTTCAGTAGCCTTTCTGCTTCTGCTCTTGTCCTTATAAAGTCCATTCTCAACTCAACAGCCTGAGTGATTCTTATTAAAGTGTATATTCTTTTTCTCCTCTGCTCTGACACCTCCGGAGCTATACTGTGTAAGAGAGTAACCACAAGTCAAGTCACATGTGGCTATTCAAATTTAATTAATAAAAATTAAATTTAACTAAAGTTTCAGTGCTGCAGTTGTACTACACATACTCCTTAGCCACATGCGGCTGGGGCTGCCATTAGACTGTCAGAGCATTCCCGCCGCTGCATAAAGCTCTACCGGGAGCACTGCCCCACAGGCTTCCCACGTTCCTGAAAGAGGAAAACCACGCAATGATCTGCAAAGACAAAGTGTGCTGTATTTGATAGAATGGTAAGAGAACTCCACTCTGATGAAGAAACTCTTGAGCAAAGACCTATCTGAGCATTTCGAGCAGAGAGAACAGCATACAAAAGAAGGAGGTGCTTGGTCTGTTCACAGAATAGGCACAGGCCAGTCTGGCAGGAGAAGAATGGGAGATGGGTGAGAAGGTCTCTGGTTTTTGCCTTTGTTAGCTTTCCGACCTCTCCTCCCGTTTTTCCAGGACCACACTGCCTTGGTTACCGTGGCTTCATAGTGCTCCCTGGAGCTGGCAGCATCGGCCCTGCAGCCCATACTTTCTCCTTCCAAAGAGCCTTATTATTATTATTTTTTATCTTCACCCGAGGACACTTTTTTCCATTGCTTTTCAGAGAGAGTGGAAGGGAGAGAGAGAGAGAGAGAGAGATCAGTGTGAGAGAGGCACACTGATTGGTTGCCTCCCCTCTGAGTCCCCACAGGGGGCCGGGATCGAGCCTGCAACGGAGGCCTGTACCCTTGACTGCCATCCAAGCCGCGACCCTCTGGCCAATGCTCTAGCCACTTGGCCACGCCAGCCAGGGCAAGAGCCTTTTTAATGTGATTTCCCATACCACTTAGTCACTCTCTAACTTGCAATATATAGTTATATGTTTTTATTTTATTCATTTAATGAACAGGTAATTATTGAGCTCCTGCTTGTGCTAGCACAGTGATGAACAAAACAGACTTGCTCCCTGCCTCAAATAGTTTATAGTATAGTAGGAGAGACTGATATTAAACAAATACTTATAAGAATAGAAGATACAAATACAAACTTTGGCAAATACTAGGAAAGAAAAACTTAGGGTAATGTGAGAGAGAGTATAACAAAGGATCTTCACTTTAGCTTAGGGAGTCAGAGGAGACTTCTTTGAAGACGTTCTGTTTAAGCCAAGTACTAAAGGCATGAGCAAGAGATAGAAAAGGGTTGGGTGTAAAACATCCAGGAGAGAACTGTTACAGAGACTTGGAGCTTGGAACTAATAAAGTAATAAACTGAACAGAAAGGAGGCTTATATGTCTACAGCTTAGTGGGCAATGGGGCTAGTGGCTTGAGTTGAGGCTAGATAGGAACCAGATTACTTAAATCTTATAGATTATGTAAAAGATTTGAGACTATATCCTGAGTATGAAAAGCAGTGAAGGATTTTGAGCAAAAGAGGAACATGATCGGCCCTTGCCTGAATGGCTCAGTGGTTGGAGCACTGGCCTGCGCAAGGGCGGGGGGGTGTCTCGGGCTCAATCCCAGGACAAGGGCAGTACCTGGGTTGTAGGTTCCACCCCCGCCCCATGTCGAGGCAACCATTCGATGTGTCTCTCACATTGATGTTTTTCTCTCTCTCTTTCTCTCTCCCACCCACCTCCCTTCCACTCCTTCTGGAAAGCAATGAAAGAAATAACCTCACTCCTTGGATGAGGATTTAAAAATAAAAGAGTAACATGATCTGATTCATGTTTTAAAAGATTAGTCTGGCTACTTTATGAAGACATACACTGGAAGAAATAGGGAAGTATAGTAACCCTAATTATAGCCAAATTCAAATGTCACCCTTTCTATAGCATTACCTGGCTTCCTCTATCTTTCCTAACTAAGCCTACTTCATATTTTGAGGTCATTATCTGTATTGCCATTGTCTATATCACTTAATGTTTTATAGCTGTGTGAATGTGCCTGTCTCTTTTAATAGACTTGTGGAGGGATTCAGTCCCTAATTGGACAAATAAAATAGCATATATATTTATATCCATGTTACCAAATACATGATAAAGCTGAGGCATTTCATCCCTATAATGTTCTATTTGCTGTTTGACAAAATAAAATATTTAATTTTAACTTGATATTTTACTTTTATTTTTGACTCAGTGGTGCTGCTGGATCAAACATATTATTAGCTTTTAAATTAATATTATTGATCTTTATTTCAGCTCTGAGGAAAAACTAGAACTTGAAAGCTCCTTTAAAATGCATACTCAAGAATTAATGCTATTAAATAATAGCATACACTATTTTTCTTCATTTATTTTATATTTTTGGATCACATTTCCTATTCCTTAAAGCCCACAAGCCAAATTTAAAAATGGGCAAAGCACCTGAATAGTCATTTTTCCAAAGAAGATGCATGAATGGCC